TGGATATTAATATCCATTGCAGAGTTGATGTTATACGGCTCGTTCAATGAATCGCTGGCCGTCTCAGTGATCAGCCGTAAAACAGTGATTCTGTCCAAATTCCCTTTAAAATCTTAAATGATTCCCTTTGAGCTAAATTGACCTGTTTCCCTTACAACGCGCTCTCCAAATCATAGCAACTCCGGCCAGCGGCTCTTATGTTCTACAACTCTGGGCTACTCTGGGCTGCTCAGTGGGCGGCAATAGGTCAGATTACACGCCACTCAAGCGCGCCGGCCACTCAGAGCCATGAAATTTGACACCTCTGGGTCAATAGACAAGAGGGGGGAGAGAGAGAATCCGGGTCAGCGCTGGAGCTGTTTTGAGCGTGGGTCTTGTAGGTTTTTTTTGACTGTTTTGAAGGCGATAATGCAATGCTGGAAGGCTAACACATCGACGGCTCGGATAATGGCAATCTATGAACATTATAATGAAAGTTATAGATGATGAAGAACGTTCAGCGGCGCGGTGGAGAAGAGAGGAGTGTCTGGTGAGCACATATGAGCGCTTTTGCTCCGTTTTTATATAATCATTATTTTGAAATGTAAAAGCACAGCTAACAATCTGAAAAACAATGTATTGACAGTAAGGATGCGTTTCAGTAAATATACATGGATATTATTACAGTGCTGTGTTTATAAACAGCTATTTCTTTGTTTCACATTCTGAAGACCAGATTGCAGCCGCGAGCTCATGGCAGAAGCAGTTAGCGTGGAGCTAGCGGCGCAGCTCGCGTCTGATCTCCAGGCAGGATGCTGATGCTGATGCAGGCAGGATGCTGATAGAGGTAGGATGCTGATGCAGAGGTAATGCAGGGGACTAAAATTATGCACATAAATGGAATGATATAAAGCTGGAGGATGTGGATTCTGTTTTAGATTGTAATAAACCACATGGATTTTACAATTTATAGAGTCTTGTGTCTCCTGAAAGAAAAAAACTGATTGTATAAAACACAAAATTTGATATTTGGTCAACTGTCAGCTCTATCATCAGAACTTTTTGCCAAGAAAACCGGCAAGTCTGCTATAGTAACTTCACTATACTTTTACAATATAGTACTGTTACAGTAATGGCATTACTGTATAGAAGAACAACATGTAATTGACAGTTTTATGTAATTTGTAATCGTAAAATATTGACAGCATACTGTTGTCCTCTCAGAATTAACAGGAGACAACCTGGTGGTGTTCGCCCACGTGTTTTGACTGACCAGCAGGAGTTAGCTGTGGTGGAAATGGTCAGGGCAAGGAATGACATACGGCTGTCTGAAATCAAGCAGGCTATTGAGAACAGCAATGACACCTTTGCCAATGTGCCCGCCTTTTGAAGAAGCACCAGGTTTCTATGAAACAAATTTACTTGGTGCCTTTTGAGAGAAACAATGCCCGGGTGAAACAACTGCGTTCAGAATATGTTCAGGTACAACACTAAATTGGTGTACTGCATGACATGCAATTTACAGTACTGACTAACAATGTGAACTATTTTAAAAGAGCTAACCAAATTATTATTTTAGAGGGTGATTGAGCTGCACACTGCTGTGAATCATCACAAGTAACATCTCAATGTGTGCAGCTATATCTGAAGATGGTGTGGTAGGCTGTAGACCAGTTCTAGGATCATACAACACTGAACACCTGATAGCTTTTCTAAATGAGCTTGAGCAGGCCTGTCAGGGTGAAGATGTCATCTATGTTATCGTGTGGGACAATGTCAGTTTCCACCATGCAGAGCTGGTTCGGGAATGGTTTCAGGCACATCCTCAGTTCATGACCCTCTACCTTCCCCCATACTCTCCTTTCCTCAACCCAATTGAGGAATTCTTCTCTACATGGAGATGGAAGGTGTATGATCGCCATCCCCTTGAGCATGTCACCCTTCAAGCCATGGATGAAGCTTGTGGTGATATAACTTCAGAGTAGTGTCAAGCCTGGATTCGTCATGCTAGAAGTTTTTTCCCGCGGTGCCTGAACAATGAAGACATTCATTGTGATGATGAAAATGTATGGCTTAATGTTGAAGACAGGCTTGATAATTAATGTGAATTTCAGGTCTACATTTACAGGTTGTTGTTGTTGTTGTTTGGGTTTTTTTCACATGCAACCACAGTATTGTTCTAAACTAAAATTAAAATAAAATACTTCTTTTTTTGCTATAAAATACTTTTTTTGTTTGCATATGTAAATGACTTTTGATGTGTTCTTTGATCACATTTTCATGTTGTATAAGTTTTTAAAATTATTATTATTATTTTTTTTTTAAATCTAGCTTTTGTCTGAACGTAAGTGTAACATTTGCTGTGTATATAGTTTTACAGTAACATTAATTCAGCACCAAGGGTGATTTGAAACCTGTACCTTGTGTTGTTTGCTACTGAATGAACTGATTGTTAAAAATACTAAGCTGAAAAAATATCTTACTGTTGTGTTTTGGTGATTAAACAAAATGTTCTCAATACATATCACAATGATCTTGTGTTCTGAAACAATGATTATGTGGAATGAGAATATGTGCAACTACAATGAAATCATGAGATCAGGTTTTGAAAGAATGACTAGTGGTATTACAAGTGTGATCGGTTTAAAGTTTTGTACTAAGAGTTTTGAAAATGTACACCTTATGAAAATAGTACCAAACCAATAAAAAAAAAACTGTAAAGCATTTATTTAAATATTAATCTGATTTCATAAAATGTTTGTATTTGTAAAAGTCAACATATTGAACTTTAAAAGCATGAATAAAGTTTAAAGCCAGAAAGACATAGTATCATATACAGTAGAAGGATGTAAAGTGCCCTTTAAGCAAGTGAGAGTTTTATATAAAAACTCTGTGGCCACAGTTTTATTAGCCATGAGTAATTTGCTTCAGGTCTTGGGTTATCTAACTGCTTATGAATGGTTCAGGCCTTGTGCATTCAACACTGATGACCAGTTTTGCTTCGGCACAGATAACCGCAGCAGCTTGACTTGAGGAGATTTCCACTGCCTTTTCCACCTCTAACCCAACCAAACAACGATCTCTTCATTTTCAAACTCCTTTTACTTATGTTTACTTCTGTCACTCTGAACTTCAGTTCCTGCATAAACACCCTGGTATTTTTTCTCATTGGCACTCCTCTTTCAATTAGCTGGTTGATGTGGGCTGTAGGTGACCAGATAAAAGGATGTTCCATTTACCCTAAAGGTCTGCGTTTCCCAGGTTTGGAAACCCTCTAGCCAAGCAAACATGTGGATGGATTCAGCTTGCATTTGCGTTGCTTCAGTGGTACAGTTAAAAAAGTCTCCCTAATAGCTAAAATCTTTCTCAACTGTTGATTGATGAGAAGCACAGACACCAATTTTGTTTTCTGACAGAAGCACCATACGCCTGACCCAGACATGGAGGAAAACGGCATAAATGGAGAGAAGATTTATTTGTGTTTTATTTTAGTCTAAGTGAGGAAAAACAACAACAACAACAAGCCCTAGAGTGCCGAGATGCTCATATAGACATACGAGTCTTTACTTCTAAGAGAACATGCATCGTTTCTATGAGGGTGAGTCTGTGTAACAAAACGGCTCAAATGGATCATTGGCATGTTTTTTTAAGTAAGGAACGTCCAAACTTAAGAAATATTTATGTGACAATCAAGTGATTTGTTTTGGCCTGACTTTAGACCACATCATGGATGTGTGTGTGTGGTCGTAGACAAGTTTAATTAAGTTTTTGCTCATGTGACTATAGATATTGGCTTATGAGGGCATGCTTTTTCATCACAGCCATACACCATGCTGTTTCAGCAAAGACCATGCGACTATTGTATTGCATAATAGAAGGATTGCCCTGTTTTTCGTCTTTAGATTTTGATGTTTACTTTTGTAAAAAAAAAATGGCAAAACAAACCCCCCCCCCACAA